AAGTAGCAAGGTGAGGAGAGAGGATTGGAGGTGGTACCCACAGGCAACTAATACAGAAGAGAAATGCTGGGCCATGGGCACTTGGAGATACAGCACATGGTGCCTGGCATGGGGGCGCCAATGGACACCCTTCCTCGTCACCATATGGGAGTCCTTTGTTTCTCCACACCCTTGCCAACCCCGGGCCTGAATTTTAAACCCTCTGGTGAATGTGCAGTGGTAGCTCTTTCTGGTTTTAAGTGGCATTTCCCTGATGACTAATAAGGTTGAGCACCTGTTCAGGCCCCTTGGGGATCCTTTTTTTTTTTTTTTAATGAAGCACCTACTGACTACTGATTTGTAGTGACTTTCATATTTTTTATATACAAGCTCTTTATCAGATCTACGAATTGAAATGACTTCTCTCACATGGGATTTACTTTTCCCTCTTTAATCACGCTTTTTGATTAACAGAAGTTTCTAATGCTAACGGAGTCCAATTCTTTTTTTTTTTTTTTCCAGTAGTGCTTTCTGTGCCTGTTTAAGAAAGTGAATCTATTCTCTCCCCTATGTCTTCTTCGAGCTGCTTTGTTGTTTTTACCTCTCAGGCGCACACTCCACTCGCACAGCCAAGGACTTTGTGTTAGGATGTGGTATAACATAGAGATAAAGGGTATTTTTTTTCCAACATGGATACTTTCTCCATTGCTTGGCAATGTCGGCTCATGGTGGTACACCAGAGCTGAATGGGTTTATTTCAACAATGTCTGCTTGGTGCCACTGGTTGATTTGTTTATCCTTGTACCATTAATGCAGTTGTTAGCGGTAGTAAGTCCTCCAACTTTGTTCTTCTTCGTATGTATTTTAGAATCAGCCTGTCAAATTTCACCACTCCTCCCCCCTTCCCCAAATCCAAGCAAATAACAGCAAAACCCCTTGGGACGAATGAGTGCTTTGGGTCTCTAGATCAATTCTATAGATCAACTTGAAGAAAACCATCTTAAATTCTAATCCACGAACAGAGTATACTTCTCAATTAGTTTATATGTTTTACAATTTCTCTCGGTGATGTTTTATAGTTTTCTGTGTAGAAATTGTACACACGGGGCGCCTGGGTGGCTCAGTGGGTTAAAGCCTCTGCCTTTGGCTCAGGTCATGATCCCAAGGTCCTGGGATCGAACCCCGCATCAGGCTCTCTACTCAGCAGGGAGCCTGCTTCCCTTCCTCTCTCTCTGCCTGTCTCTCTGCCTACCTGCGATCTCTGTCTGTCAAATAAATAAATAAAAATCTTTTAAAAAAAAAAAGGAAATCGTACACATAATTCACTACATTTGTTTTTAGGTGTTTTATTTTTATGCTGTTACAAATTGTATTTTCTAATTATTGTTGGTACAAACAGATACAATTAGTGGGGTGCCTGGGTGGCTCAGTTGGTTGAGCATCTGACTCTTGGTTTCGCCTCAGGTCATGTTCTCATGGGTCATGGGAGTGAGCCCCACATGGAGCCCTTCATCGGGCTCCACACTCGACAAGGAGTCTGTTTGGGATTCTCTCTCTCTCTCTCTCCCTCTGTTGCTCCCCCTCTTGTGCTCTCTCTCTCTCTCTCATGCTGTCTCTCTCTCCCTCAATAAATAAATAAAATCTTTTTTTAAAAGAAATATGTTTTTACCCATTGAACTAGTATCCAGTGACTTTGCTAAATTAACTAATTAACCTTAAATTTACTTGTTTTTTATTTTTTTACCCAATATTGTCATATGTAAGAGATAGCTTTGTCTTTTTTTTTTTTAAGATTTATTTATTTTGAGAGAGGAAGAGAGTGAGGGGTGCAGGCAGAGGGAGAGAGAAAGAAAATTTAAAAGCAGACCCCCTGCTGAGTGCGGAGCCCAACGCAAGGCTTGATCTCACAACCCTGAGCTGAAATCAAAAATTGGACACTTTGCCAACTGTGCCACAAGACAGTTTTATGTCTTCCTTTCCTATTTTCATGTCTTCCTATTTCTTTTCAGATTAGCTTCTTTCCCTTAATAACATGAGCTTACGTTTCTTCTGTCTTTTCATAGTTTAACAACTCATTTCTTCTTAAAATAGGTGGATTACCCACATGTGAGGACCAACTCACTTTTTTTTTTTTAAGATTTTATTTATTTATTCGACAGACAGAGATCACAAGTAGGCAGAGAGGAAGGCAGAGAGAGAGGAGGAAGCAAGCTGAGCAGAGAGCCCAATGCGGGGCTTGATCCCAGGACCTGGGATCATGACCTGAGCTGAAGGCAGAGGCTTTAACCCACTGAGCCACCCAGGTGCCCCCTCATTTCTTCTTAGCACTGAATATCCCTCAACTGTGTGAACAGACCACAGTATATCCATTCACCTAGTGAAGGGCATCTTGGTTACTTCCAAGTTTGGGCACTTTTGAATATAACTATTATAAACATAAACATCCATACACAGGTTTTTGTTTTCAATTCCTTTGGGTAAATACCCAGGAGCGGGACTGTCAGATTGTAGGCTAAGAACATGGTTTGTAAAAAACTGTCAAACTGTCTTCCAAAGTGGCCATACCATTTTCTGATACCCCTACAAGCAATGAATAAGCACTCCTGTTGCTCCACATACTCACGAGCATTGAGTGTGGTCATTGTTCTAAATTCTGGCAACTGAACGGTGAACCCTTTTACTTCTTTTTCTTGCCTTATTGCACTGGCTAGGACCTCCAGCGCAATGAATGAGTTAACACTCTGGAAGCTAACGTTCTTCCTCGTGTCCAGGCTCAGTGGAAAAGTATTTAACATTTCAGCATCAAACGTGATGTTACCTGTAGGGTTTGGGGGGTTTCATTTGTTTCCTGCAGGGCTTGGGGTTTGGGTAGAAACCTTTATCAGTCTGAGGAAATTCTCTTCTGTTTCTAATTTGATAAGAGTTTTTTGTTTAAATCATGGATGACTGTTTTCTGAATCTATTGAGAAGACGTTATGGTTTTCCTTGCTTTATTCTGTTAATGTGGGGATTACTGATTGAGTACTGGGGAGTACTGATTTAGAGGCAAACCAATCTTGCCAACTTTTTATTCCAATTGGGATTTGCAGATTCTAGTTCAATTCCACTAAAATGTCCTCTTGAACAGTGGGTCTGGACAATAACATGCAAATTCCATCCTACCGGTGCCCTAGAGTCACTCCTTCTCTCCAAACACATATTCCACATTTCAGGATCCAGGCTCAAAACCCACAGGCTCCTGGCCGGTGCGTGGGGTTCGCGCCAACCCCTGAACGCACTAACCCTGGCTGGACGCTCTCCCAGCAGACCCTAGCGTTGCAAAGGCAACTGGGTGGGGAGAGTGGAACCAGCAGGTCGACACCCCAACTCCCCCACCCCACCCAGCGACACCAGGGCTCTCCGGAGCCGTGCAACCGCCCCCACCCCGCCCCTGCGCGAGGCTCCTTTAAGAAAGCCTGCGGCTGAGCGCGTCTCTGGGGCGGGAGGCAGAGGGCGCCAAGAATGCCGGACTCCGACGGGAGCGCGAAGGCTGAAGCTTCGCCGGTGGCCTCCCCCGCCGCGTCCCCCAGCCCTCCACCCGGGGTCGTCTTGCTCCTTACCCCCAGATCCCCGCCCCCAATTCGAAGTTCCCTCGCCCGCAGCCAAACTCCCTGCACCGCCCGGCTCACACCTGGATGCTCCGCCCGCAGCCCGGGACCGGACCCCAACCCCCACCCCAGCCCGGGGTCTGCCTGGAGGCCGTCGGACCCAAGCGGGGCCTTCCGCCAGCCCCGAGGCCGCGAGCTAGGGCTGGGGGGAGATGGGGGCGCCCGGAGCAGCCTCATCCACATGCAGGGGACGGCGCGGTGCGGCGGCCGCCAGGAAAGGACAAAGGCTGTTCCGCCGCCCGCCGCACCGTGCCAGGCTCGCCCCGCCCGCCGCCCCGGTGGCCCCCGACACCGCCCCCCTTGTGTCTGCTTCGCGGGCCCGGGCTGCACAGGCCGGATGGCTTCCGGGAGGAGGCGGCCTCCTTGTGACCCTGCACGCCCGACATCGTCCGTGACCTCAGGAGCCACAGCCCCGGGTGGCCCCGTCTCCTTGAGCCGGGCTGGACTGGTCTCTGGCGAAGGCCCCAAGTTCTAATCCACCGAGCCCCTACTCTCACCTGTGACCGGGCATCTGCAGATGGGACCTGCCCGACGCAGCCCAGAGTGCAGCCAGACGGGGCGGGGAGATAGGTGGGGGAAGGGTTGGTCAGAACTTCTTCCAGGTCTCCCTAAAGGGCTCTGGATGAGGGTTAGAGGTCAGACTTGTGATGGTGGGTGCTTAAGGTCTCCTGACCCCTCCCAGAGCTTCCTGGATGCGCCCCTCCTAGAGCGATATCTCACGCCCCCCATCCCGTCTAGAAGCCAAGGAGGCATCAGAAGGGGTTTGGTTCTGGGCCTTGCCACTTGCTCTGTGATTCTCCTTAAGTTATCTCTGGGCCTCAACTTCCACCTGTAGATTGGACGCAACCTCCACCCTTCCGTCAGCCCGCGCGCACTCTGGGCCCGCGCCAGGATTTAAGAAGTTTGGAAGCGCCGGCGCGCAGAGGGTCCCAGTACACAGACAGCTATTATTCTGGCCAGCTTCCTCAGTCTCCTTGAGGGCAGGGACAGTCTTGCCGTTGAGCTCTGCTCTCCCACCCCTACCCCACCCCCCGACTAGATGTAACTCAGGCAGTGGGAGGGCCTCTTCCTTAGTTCAGCTAGAAAGTTCTTCCTAGGTCTGCCCCAAGTCCTCTCCTTCCTCCCCCCAGGCAGGGGGGGTGGGGGCAGTTCCCTTTAAGGGAGGTGGGGGAGGGGGGCTGCCAGCCGGTCCTCCTTCCGCCCCTCTCCGGCCCGGCAGCCTGGGGCCCTTGGCCCGGGCCCCGCGCCAGCGCATGCGCCCGCCTGTGGGCGCTGTCCGGGCTGCGAAGGCGGCGAGCGCCGACAGACTGACGGACCGACGGACCCGCGGCCGGTCGGACAGACTGGGCAGCACAGGGAGCGGGGACGCGGCGGTTCAGCGACATGGCCGGCCACACGCAGCAGCCGAGCGGACGCGGGAACCCTGGCCCTGCACCCTCGCCCTCCCCCGGCCCGGGCCCTGGCCCCGGCCTCTCGGAGCGGGTGGCGCTCAAAAAGGAGATCGGGCTGGTGAGCGCCTGCACCATCATCATTGGTGAGAGGGGCCGCGGCAGGCGGGTGCCTGGGATGGTCGGGCTAAAGGCTCGGGGTGCACTGCTGCCCAAAAAAAGGGGCACCCCCGCTCCGGGTGCTCCTACCGATCTGCGACTGTGGGACACGTGAGGGGATGGCCAGAGCACCTATGGGTGTATCCCCTCAGACAGAGGCAGGAGGGCTTCTTGTTCCCACCTGCCCAGGCCCCCCAAAGTTCTGCACCTGAGGGAGGTGAGGGCCCCATCCACCGCTGGAATTCCCCTGCTGCCTTTATTTTGTTGTGGGTTTCAGCAAGGCAGAATGCTCTTGGTTTTCTCATCTATGAAAGGGAGGTGAGGATAATCCTGCCTTGAGTGCCAGGAGCCCTGTAAGTGTGGGGACTGGATAGGCTGACCCAGGTTAAGGCTCCAGGTTCTGGACTGTGGCTCTAGTCTCCAGGTGCCATGCAACGAGGGTGATTAATTCTTCTAAAGCAGGAGACCCCCAGCCCACTGGGTACACTGGACAGGTAGAGCCAGCCCCAAGGGGGAAGAGGTTCAGAGTATATGATTACTGCAGAGTTTGGTGGCAGGACCCTGGGGAGAGGGTGGAGCCGTCAGTGACTGGGGAAGCCAGCCACTGGGTGGGCACAGCAAGCCTGCAGAAAAAGCCAACCTGCTTCCTGGGCTGGAATCCCAACAGGCACTCATATCTTGTGGCCTCCTCTTCCCCACCGGAGAATGGGTCCCCCATATGGGGACTTCTGAGTAGCCACAGGACTCAGGGGACAAGGCGCAAGTCATGGATGCTGACTCCTCGGGAACTAGGTAACCCAGATCTGTGTCCACACCAAGGGCCTCAGAGACCCTCCTGGGAGTGGTCAGTTCCATCCCGTGTCCCAGGAGACACAGACTGGGTGGATGGATCCGGGCATCTTGACTGCTTTATTCTATTGCCGTCCGGGTCTTCCCCTCCCCAGCTAGTAGGATCTCCTTGTGCACCCACCGCCCACCCATCCTCAGACCCCTGGAGATGGAGAAGGTTGGAGGCTCAGGTGGGCGGACAAGGGTCTTCCCCTCCTCCTCTTCTGCCCCCGAACTGGGAGCTCCTGCCCTGGGGCTGGGATCTGGCTCTGAGCCACCCCCACACTCACACTGGAAGTTGCCCTAGAACACAGGCCCTGTGCTGGTAGCATCCCTGCTTCACCCACTTGCCCCTGGAATGGAGTCTTCCAGGAGCGGCTCCTGCAACCTTCTTGGCATTGGACATCCCTGCTCCATGATCTGCTGGGAGGAAGGGCTGGGTCCAGGGCTTTAGCCAGGATACTGGCTAGAGTCTTGCCCTGGCCCACACCCTCTCCAGGATCTGTGCTCCCAGGGACAGGAGGCCCACACATGATGGAAGGACCATGGAGTCAAGAAGCTGGCCATGTCTGAGTTAGCTGCCGTGCCAGCAAGGTGCAGGGAGAGACACAGTTCTTCTGGGGCTGCCTCGACTAAGCAGCCATCCTTGAGCTGTATTTCTGCTCTGCTTCCTCCCACATCCTATCAGCTTCAGGTCAGGTGGAGGCTTCTGGCTCCTCTCTCCTGGAAGGAGAGCCCCGGGTGGTGGTGGTAAGAAAGGAGGGGGCTAGCTCCACCATCCCCTGCAGCCTGCGGGACAGACCCGCGCGTCCCAGCTCGGCCCTTGCCGCACCCCCATTCTTCAGCCCATCCCTGCTGTTCCAGGTCCACTGCTCCCTTGGCCTCCAGACCTTGAAGTCTGAGCAGGGGTAAGAGGTGGCTTGGCCGAGGGCTGCAGACTTGGGAAGGGAACCCAGAAGACCTGACCCCAGCACGGGACACTCAGGGGTGGTCCGACGACCCTGCTGAGGGAGCTTCGAAGAATTCCAGCTGGCAAGAGATGGACAAGGGGAGAATGGATGTGGACCAGAGGGGACAGGACATGAGGGAGGAAGCATCTGTGGGCTGAGTAACGGTCTGCCCAGCCCTTCCCACCTTATGCCCTGGTGGCCCCGCCCCCCACCCACTGTTCCTTTGTTACCAGCTCCTACAGTTGCTCTCTCCAAAACTTCAAATAGCCCCTCCCAGAAGGTCCTATAATTCTCTCTCCTTGTACCCTCTGCCCCCTCGTAGGCCGAGGAGTGGGGCTTTCTGGAACGGGATGATTTGGAAGGGCTTTGGGCTGGAGGAAGACTCCACCTGAAGTGTGTTTGGGGCAGCACCTGCTGGCCCCAGCAAGCACACCTGCAGGAAGATGGGCCAGCCTTGGGGGGAGGGGAGCCAGCTGAGCGGGGCTCCATAAGACACTGCTGCATCTAATACCTCTTCTGAAAAACACTTCTTATTACATTATGAAATCATGTTCTCCCTTTATCCCATTTGATTATCATGCCCACCTTGTAAGGCGGGAGTGTTTATACCCATTCTACAGACATAGAAACTGAGGTTGGAAGTTAAATGGCACTTCTGCAAGCAGTAGACCTTGGGATTTGGAACCAGATTTGGACCCAATCTTCCAATTCAGTGCCCTTCCCCATACTGTTCTGGTGCTGCCAAAATTGGGGCCAGGTTCAAAGCCCTCAGTGGGGGAGGGTTGGGATTGACCCAGCTCCCCACTTCCCATGGTTGGATGAACAAACAAAGGGACAAAGGAATCTCCCCAACTAACCACCCCCGCCTAGGGCTGTATGTACAGAATCTCTTGTCCTGACTCAGGGCCCCCAACCAGCACCCTCTCCTAATCCACACCTAAGGAATGGGTGTGCCCAGGTCCAGCAGAGTGAGAATCACCCTGGATCTGCTGACCAGGCTGCCCCATCCTCCACTCTCTCCCTTCAACTCAGGGATCCCACCTATGCTGGTCTTCATGTTTTAGGCTCAGGTATGTTCAGGGACTCAGAGGTCTGCTTTGTGAACCCCATCTCCTTAGGCGACAATCCCTGCTCCTCCAAGGATGGGCAGGCCCCTCTCTGTTGTCTCCAGGGCTAGAGGTGGCTGGGCTGCTCAAAGGATGGCTCTGTCCACAAGCTCGGCCCCTCCTCATAGGGACCCTGAGAAAGACCCTGTCTGTGTCTCCCAGCCCTGATCTACAGACGAGGAAGTGCTAAGGTGAAAAAAAATAAGGTGGGGGTGGGGAGGATGGTGGGGAGGAAATGAGTCAGGAGTGGGATGGGGCCCAGTTGGTGTGGACTTTGCCAATTGCAGTGAGAAATTTGTCTCTTTTCAAGGTGGAAGAGGGCTTTGAGCAAAAGAGGGTGGGATTGGACAGGATCAGACAGGATGGCATGAAGCGACATGGGATAGGGTAGATGGGATGGGATAGGATATGGGATGGGATGGGACAGATGGGATGAATAGGATAGGATATGGGATGGAATGAGAGAGAATAAGATGGGATGGCATGGGGTGGGAAGGGATGGATGAGATGGAATTAAGTGAATGGAATGGGATGGGATAGGCTATAGGATGGGATGGAAGGATGGGCTGGGACGAGATGGATGGGTTGGGATATTTGGGATTGGACCTAGGATGGCATGGGATAGGCTATGGGATGGGATGGGATAGGATAGGATGGCACCCACCATAGAGAAGAAGCTGTGGGCACCAATGGTAGAAGCAGGAAGCCTGGTCAAGAGTGTACCTGAGTCCCTCGTATAAGAGATGATGGTTGAGAGCTGGGTGGCCGCGATGAGGTGCTGAGGGGAGGTTCAGTTCTGGGTGTGTTTGGAAGACAGAGCCAAAGGATTTGTAATGAACAGGGTGTGAGGTGTGGGAGAAAGAGAAGAATCAGGGGCGACTCCAGGTTTGGGCCTGAGCCTCTGGAAGCCCGGTTTGCTATTTATCGGTCCAGAAAGAATGAGAGGAGTAGGTCTTGGGGGCAGGGGGTTGAAAGTCGGGGATTTCATTGCAAACATGTGAAACTCGCAATGCTATTTGCTGAGTAATTAGCTGGATACCCAAGTTTGGTTCAGGGAAGAGGTCCATGCTAGGCATATAAATTTGGGAGTTGCCAACAGAATCTGGGGGTACTGGTGGAGGCCTTGAAGGAAGGGTGTGTAGAAGGAAAGGGGCAGAGGCCCCAGGACTGTGCCACGGGCACTCAACGTCTGGAAGTCAGGAAAAGAGAAGGACCAGCAGAAACATCCAGAAGGAGCAGCCCACAAGGTGGGAGGATGGGCAGGAGGCTGAGTGTGGAGGAAGGGCTTAACCTGCTAAATGCCACTGATGAGGCAGGCAAGATGTGGTCTGGGGGGTGGACGGTTGGGTCCAGTGGAGAGGAGCTCATCGATGACCTTGACCCAGCCTGGAGACTGGGCACAGGCAAAATTTGCTTGGCGGGCCGGGCTGGGCCGAGCCAGGCAGAGCAAGCTCCACACTTCTGCTCATCCCTCTCTTGAAAGGAAAGTGGGTTAGGCCGGAGGTGTCCGCGGGCCAACTGGCAATTCCAGACGTGTCCTGGAGGCATCCCCACTCACCTCCCTGGAGTTCTGCCAACACCCTCAAAGGGCACTTCTCTCTTCTCAGAGGGATACCCAACACATGCTCATTAAGGACACACATGTGTTTGGGGGACAGCAGGGCCCCCAAAGCGGAGCTCTGGCCATTGACCCCAGCATGTTTGAGGTCCCTTGGGGAGTCTGGTTTCCAAAGGCCAGATTGGGTGGCCTGGGGTTTCTCCAAGCTGGAAGACAATAGTGAGATTAATAAGCACTTCCTGGGGCCTCTGATGAGCAAGGCAGAGTGGGAACGCACCCCCTCACTGCCTCCTCTCCCCACTTCACAGATAAGAAGACTCCGAAAGGCCAAGTATCCTGTCCACAGCACCCCACCCCTGCCCCCACCACTAGGTATCTGGGATTCGAACCCAGATCTAGGGATCCTCAACTAGCACCATAGTCTGTGGCTTCGGGGACCTACTCATGGGAATGTGGAGCTTTTTCCCAGAGGCCTCATGGGTCATCCCCTAATGAGAAGGTGCTGGGACTCGTTGCCCAGAGCAGAGGAAGGAGGCCTGGCCTATAGCCAGCCCCTGATCAGACCCGAGAGCCCTAGAGCTATTCTGTCTCGGGCCAACAGGCCAATGTGACAGGAAGAATCCCCATTGTGGGCCTGCTAGCTAAAAGAGGCACAGCTAGGCAAGGTGTATGTAGATGACTTAGGCCTTGTGGCTTCTCTGTCCTCTGGGGGGCTCCGGCTCCTCATTGCAGCAGGTTGGGGCACCCATGCAAGGTGGCCAATGAAGAATCCCTTCCTCACCATCCTCTTGGTACCATGGCAGTGGGCCAAGGTGGGAGGTCAGTGAGGGCTTCCTGGAGGTGGCACAGCTTCTGGGAATCCAGTGAGCTGAGGAGAGTTCTGCCACCATGTGGGACAGAGGCCCGTAAGCAGACTGTATTTCCTTAGGCCTTCTGCAGATGTGCAGAAAGTGTCTGCCCTGCCCAGCGGGGACTCCACCAAAGTCAGGGTTGAACCAGCCTTCTGCTGCCCCCTAGCTCAGTGGCCCTACCTTGCAAATGGGGAAACTGAGGCCCAGAAGGGCAGCGCTGGCCTGAGATCACACAGCTGACTCCCCAAAGTGTTTCTAGCAATGAGGGGTTGTGCCAGCAGCCTGGCCTGCCAGGACCTCCCTGCCCACCCCAAAATCAGACTGCACTTTGCCCCCATCCACACCCAGGGCAGCTGGCTCCATCCACCACCATGACCTCCACCGTCTACCCTGTGACCTCCACGGTCAGCTCCTGCGTCCCAGAAATAGGTCAGCACACACCGCAACAGCCAGAAGAACAATGGCCCTTTCTTCGTTCCTCTGTGGAACCAACTAAGCCCCATCAGGCCAAACATCTTAATGTGATAAAAACCACCCAGTGTGGACTGAGGGGAGAGGGATGGGAGGGGACTGGGGGGGCCTCCTGGTGGGGGCTCACCTCCTCACCCACCTGTGTGGGAACTCTGGCCCTGTAGGGACCACAGAGCAGCCATGCCACTGGGTGAATGGGACTGCAGAGGCCTTGGAACCTGCATTTCTCCAACCCGCTGCCCTCAGACACCTGACTGGGCGCTCAGTAGTATCTCACAGCCCATCCCATGTTCCCTGATTCCTGCCCCTCTTCTTCTCCAAGAGCGGCTTCCCCCAAGGGCTGGGCTTTCCCACTGCTGTGTCCTGAATCCAACAAGGCTGATTCCACTGGACTTGAGCATGAGGGCTGAGAAGGGAGGCCTGAGCCCACAACCACTGGGAGGGCTGGACAGGCCCCCCCTGCCATAACCCTTACAGCTCTGTGGTCCCTCCTCCAGGCCTCCTGTAATCATTCAGATGCTGGAGGTCCCCACCCCTGTCCCCAGTGTCCTCGTCCTGCCCTCTGCCACTCACCCAAGCTCATGGCCCCTGTGGCTCCTTACAGAGCCCCACTCAGGCCACATGGTCCCCAGAGCGGCCAGTGGACCTCAGTGGGGTCTTCTGCCACCTTCCGGCACAAACCTGGGGCGGATGCCAGAAGTTGTCCAGGGCCAGAAGGAGAGGCCCCCAAGGACCTCAGAGACACCAACTGGCACACATGTTCCTTTCAGCCACATGGGCCTGCACTAAAGGCCAAGGCCATGCGTCCACACAATCACGATCCCCCGGCCCATCCCCCAAGTGCCAGCATTGGCATCTCCAGCTCCTGGGCACAGGCTAGTGACACGTCCCTTTCAGACCCCAACCTGGGAGGACAGGATGCTAGGTGTGGCTTTCCCAAGGGCTAAGCCCATGAGGCCCCACCATGCTGAACTCTAGAGAGGGCCGGGGTCCCCATGGGCTGGGTTGCTCGGGTCCCTGGATGCCCCCAGCCTGAATGCACCCAGCTCCTTCCAAGGCCACCCAGCCCCCGCTGGCTTCCAACCTCACTGGCATTTGGCAAATCCCACTCCACCAAGCCCTGAGAACAGAGGCTGTGCTGCTGGATAGCGCGAACTCAAAGACCCTTTAGAAAGCGGAGCCAGGCCCCAGCCCCTCAGGGTAGATAAGGGAGGTGGCCCCTCTCCCGCTGGAAGCAGGCTGACGGCTCAGCTTACCTCTGGGGGCTGGGGGACAGGAATTCTTTGGTCCTTATCTGGATGTATTTAGGGCTCCTGGGATGTGACTAGAAAACCAAGTGGGGCACCGTGGCCGTCCAGACTGGAAATCTGTGTCGGCCGGGGGTGGGGTGGGGGGTAGCACCGTGGACAAGGAATGCATGCAGATTGGCAGCCGCGGCCGTGTCCTTGGCCAGGCCCGCCTGTGGGCCTGGCAGGTGGAGCAGGCAGGCTCTGCCTAGACGGGTGTACATTCTCCCACCGGACCTGGCAGGTGGGGTCATCCTGTCGAGGGACAGAGCGTCAGCTCCTAGCAGCGTTGCTTTTTTATTCATGGGGCCTGGGCATTCTGGGGTCATTTCCTCTTGGGCAGGTCCTTGTGCAAACCACCAACGATGAGACGTCATTTGTGTGCACAGAGGGTGAGACCCAGGTCCCCCAGAGCATTGCCCTTTTTACCCTAACTGCCAGGGAGCTCACAGCTCAGTGGGCACTCAGTCTTGCTCACCCTGAGAACCTGCTCTGCAGACCATGGCTTGGCCCTCTGAGCATTCAGACTGTGCATCCCCAGACACTGCGGGTCAATGGAGTACCCCCAACACGTGTCACAGTCCGCAAGACTCCGAGTCAGCCCAAGGACAGGGCAGGCCTCTGGTGACCCTGGCAGACTCCCTTCACGTCTGAGCCTCGGAAGCTGTGACCACCCCCCTCCTCCTCTTTGCAGTGCCTCTCTAGGAGAGCGGAGCAGAGACGGCTGCCCCCACTTCACAGATGGGAAAATCAGTCTTTCAGGTTAGGACTTCGGTACCGCTTTGGGCATCGGGCCATCCGTGCACCCATTCAGTTTACTCGACAGATGTGTAGTGAGCACCTACTATGTGCTGGGGGTTGGAGGTGAGTGAGACCAGGTGCAGCAGCAGACGCACCCACAATCACGCAAGGATGCCGAGTACGTCTGGGTCCAGAATGAGCGGACGGCTTCCTATATGGTATCTTGCCGATGCCTCACAGAAACCTCTCGTACAGGTAGATCTTGAGAGGTGACCTGAGCCCCAGCTGAGGTTTCCCACTGTGGTGCTGGGATTAGAGCATTGACTCCTCTCTGCATCCAGCAGGCTGTCTCAAGGAGACAGGCGGTCTTATCCAGACTGCGGGCCGGCCGCGTCTCTGTCAACCTGCCATTGCCATCCTTCCATGATGGCTGTTGACCTTCCCTAGCTGTATAAATGCACTTGTTCCTGTCCCTCTCCCTCACCCCACCGGCCCTTGCCCAGGACTGGAAATATTTCAGCGGTGCCAGGAAACAAGGTCCCTTCAGCATCTATGTCTGCAGTCTGGGTCCTAGATCAGGGAGGAGTCCAGCAAGCAGGTCCCCGAGCTGCTGAGCCCGCTCCCTCATGCTTGCCCACCTGCTGGGAGGAAGCAGGGGGGACAGAGGAACGAGAGCAGGACTCATGTCCTGAACTGGTGGACGAGGTGCCTCTTCCCATGCCAGGGCCTGGGGAAGGGGAGATAATGAGCCCAGATGGGATTTGCAGGGTCTGAGGCCCCTAGTGGCATCCACAGGCCTGTAGGCCCACCTTCCCTCTCCTCCTCCTCCTCCAGGGAGCAGCCGGGATTTCCTTTCTCATTGTAGCATCTGGGAGCCTGAGAAGGCTGGGCTGTCTAAGGGGATCCCAGACCTGATGCCTCCCCATCTCTCCCCACCCCAGGAAACATCATTGGCTCGGGCATCTTCATCTCCCCCAAGGGGGTCCTGGAGCACTCGGGCTCTGTGGGTCTGGCTCTCTTCGTCTGGGTCCTAGGTGGAGGCGTCACTGCCCTGGGCTCCCTCTGCTACGCGGAGCTGGGTGTCACCATCCCCAAGTCTGGTGGGGACTATGCCTATGTCACTGAGATCTTCGGGGGCCTGGCTGGGTGAGTGTGGGGCACCAGCAGGGTCGGTGGGGGAGGGGATGACAATCTGGAATGGAGGGTCACTTGGGCCCTGGACTTCAGTTTCTTCTTTTTCTCACATCTCAGGGAGGTCATGGGATGCATAGAGGAAAAGAAGGTGGGGGTGTTGGGCAATCTTCCAACGCCAGAATGGGCTGGACACTCCGGCTGGCCCCTTGACCTCTCTGTGCTTCCTTCTAAATGTTTCTTGAAACCTACTCCCCACCTGGGTGATTCTCACAACAAAGGAAGGGCAGCCTTGATTTTAGTCAACCCACATGTGTGTGTGGGGTGCATATAATTCCTACCAGCGCCCTGCAAGAGGGCCCCTTTAAATAGCCCCACCCCCCCCCACATTCTTTTATTCACCGATCAACATTAGCTGAGCACCTACTGTGTGCTGGGGACTAGAGATAAAAGGATCTATCCCTGTTCTCAAATTGTTCACAGGGCAGAAGGGAGAAAGCCCCTCTGTACTTGGGGAAGACTTAGAGAATTCTTGCTCTGGTGTGCGTGAGGGGCAGTGGCCCAGCGGCCAAAAGAATGGGGTACCATCACCTAGTGAAGGCTTCTGGGAAAAACAACATTCACACCAGGGCTTAGAGGGTGAGCCTGATGCCTCTGGTATGGCCAGGGGCAGATCAGATCCACGGCAAGTGCCAGGGTTTGGAGGCCCTGGGGCTGCCTAGGGCCACGATGGGGGATTAGAGCTATTGCAATTAACCCCCTGAGCCATGCCGAGGGTCTGAATAAAGGTATAGGAAGTTTCCAGAATCATCCAGAAGACATGATAGCCAGGGTGGCCCGAGGGAGAGGTGGGGGCAGGAGGTGATAGCCACTTTCCCACTGGATGGACTCCATGGGAGGGAAAGTGTTGGGGTCAGGTTCCCATGCTGGTGGGGTCTGTGGCATATCTGGGGAGATGGTCTAGTCCGGTCTGGGCAGGAGGGTGTCTGGAGCTCAAAGGAAAAGTCTAGGCTAGAGTATCCAAAATTTGGTTCTGGGGAATGTGGAGAGGGGCCTTAAAGGGGTAGCGGTAGATGGGGTTTCAGGGTGTGTCCATGGGTGCTCTGCTCTGGGGAGAGGGTCCTCAAAGGAGACTGGGACCTGAGAAAGCAGAAAAATTGGGCTATGTGGTTAAGAGAACACTTGAGAAGTAGGAGCCAGGGAGGGCCCAAGGCCCAACCCCGGGGGGCCTGTCTTCTAAGGCTGACAGAATGGAGCAAGGGGTAGGCCACCAAGTAAAGGAGAGTACCAAGAGGAATCTACAAGCCTGGTGGTCCAGGGGTCACTGTGTCCCTGGATGCGGCAGTCCCCATCCTCAAGGTCTAGGAGCGCCCCACAGACAGGCCCTCCTGAGGGTGCAGACAGAGCCCCTGGGAGAGGTTGGGCCTCACAACATTGAGCAGAGTCCGGGCTTACATGTGGGTACCCCAAAGTGGCAATATTTGGGCAAAAGGGACATAAATCGCTCCCTAACCCCTGCCAGGGCTCCTCGTGAGGTCTTATCCCCCAGGGGCCACGGCTCAGAGCCAGCTACCTGCAGCCATGGGCTCTGCTGAGAGACCCCGCTGGCACCATAACCCAAGGTCCCAGGACAGCCCGCCCCCGCTCAGCAAACAGCCTGTGGCCACAGCTCATCAGCTATTAGAAAGGTGGCTGCTTCCCCAGTCCTTTTCGACACCTGCCCAAGGGCAGCCTGGAGCTCTTTAACCGTGCTAAATGTCATCTCTGTTGCAAAAGTCCATTCTTAGAACAGAATCGGCCCTGCCTTCCTGGCGCATCGCGCACCCTCGCCAGCCCTGAGTGCCGCGGCCTGAGGGGCAGCCCCCACCTGGGCTGGTTTGGCTGGGAGGGCGCTGCTGCCTCTGCCAGTGGGGCCCTTCCTCGTTCCAGCTTCCTGCTGCTCTGGAGCGCAGTCCTCATCATGTACCCAACCAGCCTGGCTGTCATCTCCATGACCTTCTCCAGCTACGTGCTGCAGCCCGTGTTCCCCAATTGCATCCCCCCAGCCGCCGCCTCCCGCGCACTCTCCATGGCCTGCCTGAGTGAGTGCCTGCTCTGAGCCCGCGTCCTGCTCGTCCTGCTCGCTGGTGTGGGAGGGCTGTGCATGTGCGGGAGGGGGCGTCCCTCCACCTGCCGGCCCCCTGGGAGCTCAGCCTCAGGGGGTGGGCTGCTGGGGGTGGGGGCTGCCGCTCTCCTGCAGCCTGGGCCAAACTTGGCCATGGCCCACCCGCCCTCTCTCCCTTCCTCCCCAGTGCTCCTGACCTGGGTGAACAGCTCCAGCGTGCGCTGGGCCACACGCATCCAGGACATCTTCACCGGCGGGAAGCTGCTGGCCCTGTCCCTCATCATTGGCGTGGGCTTTGTCCAGATCTTCCAAGGTAGGGCCGGGGTGGGGCCGTGGACAGGGCTGCGGCGACAACACTGACCCCTGACCTCTGGACCCCCAGGACACTTCGAGGAGCTGAGGCCCAGCAATGCCTTTGACTTCTGGATGACGCCCTCTGTGGGTCACCTGGCCCTGGCCTTCCTCCAGGGCTCCTTTGCGTTCAGCGGCTGGAACTTCCTCAACTACGTCACTGAGGAGCTAGTCGACCCTCGAAAGTGAGTGGGATGCCTGGCCGAGCCCTGGGAAGGGAAGGGGTGCAGCGGTGGGAGAGGCAGCCTCCCTGCACAGGTCCACTGCCTCCCGGGGCCCCGTCTGGTCATCTGCCTGACCGTGCTGCTGCTGGGACACCAGTGCTCCCTGCGAGGCTGTGGGCGGGCCATGGCCCCTTGCCGTCAATGCATCCAGCCATCGGCATTTAACCAAAATTTATACGTGTGCGCACGACATGCCCTATGGATGAAGCCGATGGCTCCCTCTGATGCTTAGCCAGGGATCTCAACAGTGAACCGCTGGGAGCTGGGGCTGGGGCTGATAGGGCATTCCAGGGGGGGGGCCAGATCTATGCACGGGACTCTAGGGGCACTTTGCAAGGATTTTTGAGGATTTTCAAGGCTGAGTTTGGCTGTATGCACTTTTCTCTTTGTGTACCTACAGTAGAGGTGCCCCTCGGGGTTTGATATGGCCCTCCCCCCATCAGTCCCTCCTCCCACCTGCCTGTGCCCAGGCTCGAGCTGGGGGGCAGCAGGGGGACAGTAGTGCTGCCCCTTCCCTGTCCCAAGGCCCCCAACAGACCCAGAGCCTGGAGATGGAGACTCCAACTGCTCCCTTGCTGGGTCCTCTGGGTCCCACCTCACAGCCCCGCCACCCACCGGGACTGACGCTGACATACTGCACCGCTGCCCCCAGGAACCTACCCCGTGCCATTGTCATCTCCATCCCGCTGGTGACCTTTGTGTATACCTTCACCAACATTGCCTACTTCACTGCCATGTCCCCCCAGGAGCTGCTGGTCTCTAACGCGGTGGCCGTGGTGAGTGGGGTCCCACATTTGCCTGGCTCCTGCCCACCCCGCCCTGCCTCACGCATCCCCTCTTCTTCTGTGCCCACTCAGACCTTCGGGGAGAAGCTGCTGGGCTACTTTTCTTGGGTCATGCCCGTCTCCGTGGCACTTTCCACTTTTGGAGGGATCAATGGCTACCTGTTCACCTCCTCCAGGTGACTGGATTGGGGAGGGGCTCGGTCAAGGTGAGGCAAGGCAGGTGCGTGCAATCCGTGCCAGGGGCCAGAGGGAGACAAATCCTGCCTGGTGGGTCTCATGTGACGCTGGGACGATGAACTCCCCAGTTACAGGAGTCGGACCCCAACTCTGAGGTCCAGAAAGCAAAAGGGAGGTGGGGCAAGACAGGGAAGAACTGCCCCGTGGGGCTGCCGGGGCGCAGAGCAGGGGTCAGAGGCGACAGCTCAAGAGGGACATCACGTCTGGAGCGGAGGTCCAGGATCTGGTTGGTAGGAGGCCCGTGGCCGGACTCACGGCCGCCACCCATCTCTGTCCCAGACTGTGCTTCTCGGGGGCCCGAGAGGGGCACCTGCCCAGCCTGCTGGCCATGATCCATGTCCGACACTGCACCCCGATCCCTGCCCTCCTCGTCTGTGTAAGTTGTGGGGTCACGGCTGGCCGGGAGGGGAGCCGGAGCCACCCAGCAACGTGGGGAATGGTGGGGATTTGTCTCGGCCCTAGGGGGCAGCCCACAGAGGCAGCGGGGAGGGCCGGGGCTGATGGAGGCAGGTGGGAGGCCACGCTCAGCCCGGTCCTCTCCCAGTGCGGGGCCACAGCGGTCATCATGCTTGTGGGAGACACGTACACGCTCATCAACTACGTGTCCTTCATCAACTACCTCTGCTACGGCGTCACCATCCTGGGCCTTCTCGTGCTGCGCTGGAGGCGGCCGGCGTTGCACAGGCCCATCAAGGTAAGGCCCAGGAGTGGGGCTGGGCTGGCACATGGGGTCAAGCCCCGTGGTCATTTGTGCTCAGGGAGAGGGGGAGGGGAGCAGGTGAGGACAACGACTAGGATTCGAGTTTTAGCCACATGCCTGGCCCTGCTCAGGCTGTGTGTGCACTGATGTATTCAGCACCCCAACAGCCCCACGAGGGGTTGCTTGGTGCACTCTCAGCTTCCAGACAGGAAAGTCAGGCTCAGGTGCTTGCTCCCGGTCACACGGAACCCCAGGAGCACGCACAGGACGGGAGACAGGAGAGCCTAGCCCAAGCTGAGTGCACATATTCTGTGCATATAAATCCTGGAGCCGGACAAGGGCTCAGTGCCTAAAAAAGGTGACACACCGAAAAAGACAGAGACGTCAAGCCAAACAGCCAGGGACACATCGTTGCTGTGTGCAGCTCAGGGCCATGGAAACTTCAACAAATCCTCAACTGTTGGGCACCCTGGCCATCCCCTGAGGTGGCTTCTAGCTTGTTGGGCTAGAGGGGGGAGCCCTCACACCCCAGCGGGTGGGAAGCACGCGGGACCCCCCGGGGTGGGGGTGCCATGGGCAGTCCGGCTGGCTCTCCCCCAGGTGAACCTCCTGGTCCCCGTGGCGTACTTGGTTTTCTGGGCATTCCTGCTGGTCTTCAGCTTCATCTCAGAGCCCATGGTGTGTGGGGTCGGCGTGATCATCATCCTCACAGGGGTGCCTGTTTTCTTCCTGGGGGTGTTCTGGAGAAGCAAACCAAAGTGTGTTCACAGACTCACAGGTGAGCCGGGCAGCCTCCCCATGGCGGTGGGACCCAGGGATGCGACCCTCTTAGGGGCTGGCCCTGGAGCAGCCCCCCCACCACCACCCCGGCAGCTGCGGTGGCAACAGGATCCAGCCGCCACCAGAAGTCTCCCCAAGAGGTGACCCCAGAGTCCAGGATCCTCCTGAAGGGAGCAGCTCCCTGAAGACCCCTGCCCCACAGAGTCAGACCCAAGGTCTATCTGTTTGTCCATCTGTCCTCAGAGTCCATGACACGCTGGGGCCAGGAGCTGTGTTTCGTGGTCTACCCCCAGGGTGCCCCCGAGGAGGAGGAAAATGGCCCCTGCCAGCCGCCCCCACTGCCCGCCACAGACAAGCCTTTGAAGACACAGTGAGACATTCGCGGAGCCCGAAGCAGCTGTTTCTGTTTACATGTTGTTTATTGAGGAAGTGTTTTTGCAAAATAATTTTTTTTTTTGGATTTTTGTTTTGTTCTGTTTTGTTTTGTCCTGGAAAAAAAAAGAGAGAGAGAGAGAGAGCGATCCGACACTTGGAGGCCTAGTCTGAGAGAGCCCTGCAGACGTGGGCTGGGCTCCCGGTCGGCACTGCCCCACTGGCTTCTCCTGCAAAGGTTATGAATAAAACAGGGCTGGTGGGTGGTGTGCTTGTCTCCGGTGAGTCCCTGGTGGGCATCACTCAGCGGGGCTTGCATGGTGCTGGCTGCGGGCGGGGCCCCAGCAGGCTCTGGAGGAGGCCTTTGGTTTTTGGGGGCTCTGACTCCTGAGCCGGACACTTCATCTCTCCCTCATGGGGTCCGGAGCCAGCCCTGCCCCAAAGGAACGCCGGGATCGGGAGACGCCTCCCCAGGACCCACAGGGCCAGCCCAAGGGTCAGCCACTCAGGAGGGTCTGGGCTTTTTTGTGGGAACTGCCTTTTGTTTTGTTTTTTTTCCATAAATCTCCGTGGAGTATCAGGACTTGGGAGCCCGTGGTCTCGCTCTGGTTTACAGGGAGAAACAGATGGGATGGAAGATGGGATGGAAGTGGCCACAGTCAGTTGGTGCTCAGCCGCTGTCCCTCGAGAAAGCATCCAGCAGCCTTTCCCAGGTCGGGGTGGGGGGGTTCGGGACCTGCAAGAGACCGTGGGCTTCCTCTACCCTGTGCCCACATTCCCAGCCATGCCCTCCTGCCCTTGAAATTAAACCTTCAGCCACAGGGCAGAGGGCAAAGGGATCCTGCCTGGCCAGGCCCACGCTGACACCACAGGCATGAGGACGGGGACAGAAGCCTCTTTGCCTCTCCTCTGGGCTGGCTGGGGGGATGGAGAGAGGGCTGAGCACCGGCCGGGGACCCTCCCCGGACTAGTCCATTACACCCACGGTCCTCCTTTGGTCTGGCACAGCTCTGGCACCCCGGAGGGTGAATGAAGTGAGAAGCCACAGAAAACTCTCCACAGAGCCCTGCCCTAGCCCTCCTGCTCCCCCGAAATAGATTCCCAGAATGGAGGAGAAGGAGGGAGAGGGAGACCCCAGGAGGCCTGCCCCAGGGATCCTGACCTTACCCGCCTCCTTGCTCCAGCCCCGTGAGGCCCTGCCCACCATGCCCACCAGGGCTGGGGCTGCCGATGCAGCGAGCGGGCAGCTGGGCTTCCAGGCAGCCTCTCTGCAGGAAAGAAGGACGCGGAGGCAGGGTAGAAACGACTGTGTATTCCCTGGTTACAAAGCGGGGCTGTGGCGGTCACCAGCAAGTCCAGCGGTCAGCAGACCAGCAGGGCCTCGTCATCACTGGCCTCCAACGTTGGGGAGCAGGGTGGTGGGGGACTCCTGCAGACACCCAGTGGCTCTGGTGGGTGGGGGCCTAGGGTGCTGCTGGCAGTGGGAGCCGGGGGGTGAGGGTCCTGGGCCGAGCAGGGGTCCCGAGGCATGTCCCCAGGGGCCGGGCTGTCCACCAGAGGGTCCCTGCCGGCTTTTCTGTCCTTGTCCACCAGCCTGCACTCCGGGTCCCGCAGGCCTGAGGAGGGTGGCACAGCGGATCCCACTTCTGGCCCGTGGCCTGGGGCACCGGGGGGCCCATCCCCAGCCGCCACGGGGCTGCCTGCGTCCGTGAGGGGTGCTGGGGGGTCCGGGGTGGTCCCTGATGCAGGCTGGAGGAGCCCATCACCCAGCACCGTCTGTGAGGTGCGTGCGGCCGTCAGCAGTGGGATCTGTCCCCGCGGCGCCCGCGGCCGGTGAAAAAGCCTGTTCCAGAGGCGGCCAAGGCGGCGGCGGGAGGGCCCTCGGCGGGAGGCATGCCTGCGCATCTGTCGCCGCATGGCTGTGCGAAGGTTCTGTAGCACCGAGGCCTGGAGGGCAGGGTGGATGGCGGACAGGGCAGAGGTCAGTGCCACCCCAGGAGACCAACTAATTTCCCCCAACCTGGCCATGGCACCCTCTCCCGCCTCCCTTGAGCCTTGGGCCATGCGGTGTTGGACCTGGTCCTGCGGTCTCCCCTTCTGGCGGTTCTCACGGGTCCAAGTCGGAGCCTCGGTCTCAGGGCTCTCACCCTCAGGCACTCACCTGGGATGCACTGTAGACCGGGAAGTCCTCCACGGGCGGAATGAGGCCCTGGGCGATGAGCTGCCCGTAGGATGGGGGAGCCTCCCGCCGCACAAACTCAGCCTCCAGGCGCGTCATCTGGGTCTCGAAGGCCCTGACGGCAGCAGAGGGCGGGAGGGCGGCATGGCGGGGCTGGCCAGCGCCGCACCCCGCCCACCTCCCCGCAGGCACCACCCCCGCCCCGCCCTCCAGCCCCACCCCGCGATGCCCCGGGGAAGCCCCACCCGCGGACCGCGCAGCGGGCGTCCGCCCACCTGTACTCCTGCGTGCGCAGCGAGTAGAGCTTGAAGGCGCAGCCCAGCGCGATGACCAGCAGCAGGCCGCAGACCAGGCTGCCGATGAGCGCCGCCGTGATGACCTTGCGGGGCACGGCCGCCAGGCAGCCGTGTTCGTCGCTGCCATCCTGGCAGTCCTCCTGGCCGTCGCAGCGCCACGTCTCGAAAATGCACAGGTTGGTGCCGCAGTGGAAGGTGCCGGGCTGGCAGGAGAAGCAGTTCTTCTCGTCGGCGCCGTCCGGGCAGCTCTTCTGGTTGTTGCAGCGGTCGGCGGGCGTGTAGCACAGGCCGCTGCCGCCCTCGCAGGGGTACTGGTCCGGCGGGCAGGCGGGGCAGCCCTGCTCGTCGCGGCCGCTGGCGCAGTGCCACCAGCCGTCGCAGCGCTGAGGCTCAGAGAAGCAGCCCTGCTCGCCCGCGTCGCCCGCGCCGCCCTCGCCGCCGCCCCCGCACGGCTGCTCCCACGGGAGGCAGTAGCCCTTCACCTGGTAGGTGGCGTTGAAGCCGTGGCCGGCGCTGCGGGCGCGCGCGTGGTAGGCCACCGTGAGGCGGCCCTGCGCGGCCTCGAGGCTCACGGGCCGGTGGTTGCTGCGGTAGGACAGCGTCTGCAGCAGGCGGTCGCCGCGCTCGCCCAGCCCCTCGTACACCTGCACGTAGTCGTCGTAGCCCAGCCGCAGCTCCAGCTGCAGCAGCACGCGCCGCGGGTCCTGCGTGTCCACCAGCCACGTGCAGTGCAGGTCTGACGGCCCGCGAGCCGCGCCGAACAGGTCCGGGGAGGCGAAGGAGCCGTAGAAGCTGCCCAGGCGCCGGCCGCACGCCAGGTCGGGGCAGCCGGCCTCGTCGGAGCCGTCGCCGCAGTCTTGCGTGCCGTCGCAGCGCCGCTCGGCTGGCAGGCAGCGCGTGGAGCGGGCCCCGCTGCAGGGGAAAGTGCCCCCGGGGCACAGGCTGCGTGGCGGCTCAGAAGCGGGCGCTGAGCAGTTGCCCTCGTCTGAGCCATCGCCACACTCGTCCACCGTGTTGCACTGCCACGGGCCTGGCAGGCACTTGCCGTTGTCACAGCGGAACTCGTCGGCCTGGCAGGACGCCTGGCCCAGCTTCCCTGTGGGGTGAAGAGTGCGGGGTGGACAGTCACGGGAGAGCAGAGCCTCCCTCCAGGGGGGACCGGGGCCAGGAGCAGGCAGGTGGCTCCCCTGTCCCAGCCTGGCCTCTGCAGGGCCTCTCCATGCCCACTCGAGGGGCGGAGACCCCTCAAACGCATGGAGACCCCTCAAACGCCAGGGTGGCTCCTCCCTAACTTGAGCCGAGGGTGAGGGGTGAGCAGCCCGCTCTAGCCAAGTCTGTGTAGTGGGGTCCATGAGCTCCAGGGGCTTCAAGGCACCCCGAGGCCCAGTCCCCCAATGGATGGGGCTTCTGAGGGAGACCCAGGAGGGAGTGGGCCAGGAGAGGGTGCTTGTGGGGACCTTGGGAGTCCATGCACCCATGGTGCCCTGCCCTGCTGCCAGCATCACCTCGGATGTACGACAGACGGAAGCCCTGGGCCTGGCCGGAGCTGGAGGCGTCAGAGTGGAAGAAGATCCAGACGTGGTCCCGGGCCGAAATGAAGGCAGGTGGGATGGCGGAGCCGCAGAGCCGGAAGGCCTCCTGGCGGGGTGGGGCCGCTGGGCCCAGCATGAGCCAGTCCAGGGAGCACTGGTGGGACTCCTCCACGTCAAAGTTGCGGAAGCTTCAGGGACACGGAGAATGAGGACCGCCGGCATGGGCGGGCAGGCAAGGAGCCTGCAGCCCTGAGTTCACAGCAAGGGTGGCCCGTACTCTGGGCCTCTCAGTGGGACCCCTGCCACCACCCAGGGGTCTGAGGGTGGCTCCAGGAAGCACCAGCACAGCTGTGGACAGCCCCACTGCAGCTCTGTGAAGGCCTCACCTCGTCCCTCTCTGCCCTCCATCAGCACACTCAGAGCCCACTCCAAAGCCAAAGTGGAGGGGGCGTCAGAATCCCCATCAGGAGCAATGCCTTCCCCAGACACTCCAGATCCCTCCCATGCGGGCTCTGCTGGGCTAGACCCAGCACACACTCACAGGTCTATGCAATGAAGGAGTAGATGCCCACGGGGCTGGCCTAGCCTGCAGCTGGGTGACAGCTTGTCACCTGGGGAGAAATACCGGGGCCGGGTCCCCCAGCCCAGGTTGGGGGGCAAGGAGGCTACAGGACCAGGGAGAACTCTATAAGTGGCCAGTAAGAGTGGAATCTTTGAAGGGAGAGTGCTTGGGAGCCATGGCCCTGGGGCCACAGGGAAACAGGCACAGAGACCAAGACAGCCCCTGTTGGCGCCCATCATGCCCCTGTGCTTTGGAGCCAGGGAGAACCCGGGCCCTCTGGGCTTCGGCACCCTGACAGGATACCCCACAGCTGTCCCAGGCCAGGGTTCCAGACTCTGCAACCTGGATCTTGCCACCTGATCCCAAGCCCCCTCTGCAAGTCCCTGCAGCTGGAGTTCCTGGGCCCTTGCCTGGCTCCCTCTGCTGCCCAGACTGCCCTGAGGCCCCTGGGGAAACTCTGCTCTGGGATCCATGCCAGCCTAGCCTCAAGCCCCCTGCAGGATGAAGAAAACGCTTCCACCACCTCAGAGCCGGCCAGGCCACACCCCAGTCCCCACGGCTCATCTCCCTGGCCAGGCTGAGGGGATCCATGGCCCCACGGCCCCTCAGAGAGGCTCACACAACAGAGGTCCAGCAGGAGAGGTGGCCCACTACAGGGGCTCACAGACACCCGGAGAGTTGGGCACACTCACATGCTCACACATGTGCACACGCAGACGCGCACATGCACCTGTACTTACACACACCTGCCGTCAGCACCTGCTCACACACGTGCTCACACACAGGCGCCATTACACATGTGCGCACGCTCTCACACCCACACTTCCTCAGCATGTGCTGGCCCACGGAGCTCCCTCCTGACGCCCTGGGCCCCCTCACCTGATGGTGATCATGTCCCCGCGGTCACCCTGGATGTACCAGCTGCAGTTGGTGCCCGGGGGGTAGTTGAGGGGCCAGGCCGGGCTATAGATGACGCCGCGCCGCTCCGTGTGCTGCTCCAGCTTCCCACTGCAGGCGGCTGTGGGGACAAGAGGCTGGGAAGTGCTGACCTCCCCTCTGGGTAGGAAGTGAGGTGGGGGTGCCCTCAAGCCCTGCCGTGGCTTGAGCACAGGTCTTCCCCGGAGTGGGATCAAGACAAGGGCCACACAAGGGTGGTTATGGCCAGGGTGAGACCAAATGTAAGACTTCACAGAAGTACGTATGGGGGGCAGAGGACCCATAGGGGCTCAAGGCAGCCTTGGGCCCAAGCCCCACCCTGTGCACCGGAGGGTAGGTCCTATCCCCCAGCCCCCCTGGTCCCTCCAAGATGCAACCTCCTGGCCTCAGCTCGGTGGAGAACTCTGCACCCCTGGGCCTGTCAGGCCTGCCTGAGCAGTCCACTGTGGTTCCCTGCCTGCCCCCACTGGGACAAATCCAGGCCTCAGCCCCGGGAGGGGAGAGGCTTTGCTCCCCCAGCACGGATTGACTGAGTACCTACTAAACGGCAGAACAAGTGCGAGGCATGCTGAGTAAGAGACTCAAAAGCCCCACTCCATGGAGGCTGCAGGGAGAGCAGACGTGCTGCTCTCCGGGGGGAGTGAAGATCATGAGACAGACTTGCACAGAGCCGACGTCCAGTTGGGGCTGGACACGCATCAGTGGGAAGCCACTGGACATCGATGTCATAACCACACAAGGAAACAGGCTCAGTGAGGGTAAGGGCCTGCCCATGGCCACACAGCAGTAAGTGACAGAGTCAGGAGCACCCGTGGTCCCCTGGTGGGATCAGCCTCTCACTGCTGGCCTTGAACCAGTGCATTTATGAAGTGTGGACCACCTGCTGCACCAGCAACCTGCACAGGCTCGCATCCCAGCCAGCGCGATCGAGGAATGCCGCCAAGCCCAGCCCTGCAGGCCTCACTTTACCCACTTCATCACTCATGCCTCTGCTTCCTGGGGAGCCGGCCCAGCCAGAAGACTCCAGAGCCTATGCTGGTATGCCCTGGCATTCCCAGGACAAGGCAAGGCCTCTACACTTGACCACACCTGCCCCTTCCAGCCCCTACAGCCACCTTCACCACACCATCTCGTCTGATCTGCACAAAAGCCTGTGGTAAAGGCAGGGTCCATTATACAGATGGAGAAACTGAGGCCGCTGACACCACATCTGCACTGTCCCACTGCCTGGCCCCTTCCACTGTTGCCCTGCGAGCTGGAGTCTCTCTGTTGGCTCTCAACAAGACTCTTTGGGACCCCAGCTGGTACGGCTGCAGAAAGGAGACTGGGGAGTAGAAATCCTCAGCTGCCTCCCGTCCTCTTAGGACTGTGACAATGGAGGTCCAGGTGATCCAACACTGTGACTAACAGGGAAGCAGAAGCCCCCGCCAACAGCTCATGAAAGCATCACAGGACTAGAAGAGAAAACACCCACACTTGACCCTAAAACAAGGCTGGCCACCCGTGGGTTGCCATCAGAGCTCTGAGAGTCCCTGGTCAACGAGGCACCGGCCGGACTTCCTGCTTGGCACTCACCCGTGGCCTGGAGGGCCGGCCTCCCTGGCCCGCAGATCTCTCCCCCGTCAAACAGGAGCGGTAAGAGCACGCAGGAGGGGAAGGACTAGAGCCCCTTCCCTCTGACACGTGAGGCCATCGGCTCTGTGGACCTCACAGAGACCCCGGGTGCTGCCTGGGAACCTGGGAGGTGTGAGGTTACAAAAGCCAGAAGAGGCTTCTCCTCCTAGATGGTGCTGGGCAAGAGGTTCATGGGCCAGGGAGCCTGGCACAGCCAGGGTGCCTCTTCCCCCCACATCAAATCCACACGGTAAACCCGAAGTCAGGAGACTCGATCAGCCAAGGCAGGAAGCACCCTTTGCTGCCCTGTCCTCTCAGCCCCTAGGACAGGGCCGGGGGCAAAGCAGGGCCTCGTCACTCATACCCTGGCTGGGAAGCCTTCCTCAGGCACAAAGAGAAAGGCCAGTTTCCTCACCCACGAAGCCTACGGGCATCACCTGCCCCAACCAGAACAGGTTTCTAGACCTATGTCTGGTCCTACTTTCCAGGTCTCTTGGACCAGCAGTCACGTCAGGAGCAGACGACTAGAAGCTGCCAGCCCAGCTCTGCCTCTCAGCAAAGCCCCTGACAACATGTCCCTCCAAACAGCCTCCTCCTGAGTCGCCCCCAGGGCTGCCCCAGAAATTCGCACATAGGAGACAGCGAGAGATCATGATTTCTGCAGTCATCGGCCTGGACCACATGGAGTGCACGTGCAGCAGGAGAAAGAACAGAGTCCCTGTGGGGCGCTGGGAGCTCTGGTCAGGGCCTCCTGACTGGACACCCGCTTGGCCTTGAGCCTGGAGGCGGTCCCCAGCTCACCCTCCTTGATGGCAGCCTCGCTCCCAGCCCAGAATCCAGGCACAGGTGAGGGAAAGGCATCACGAGTGCACCCCCAGGGTCCACACAGCCAGGCACGCTGTTCCACCCCAGGCCTCAGCTTGTCCCAGCAGTAAAACGGAGTCCGTGGGTGCTGCTTTTCTGGGCGGGTGGTTGGGAAATTCGAGAATAGAGGCAGTCTCCAGGCAGACACTCATGTGCCAGGGGCAGTGGGGTTCCGCCCTGCGGAGGTGCGGCTCTGACGGGGTGTGTGATGCTGGGTGGGCAGTGAAGGATGCTGGGAGGACTGTGTGTTTGCAGGACAGGATTTGGGGGTGTTTGGGGGCTCTAACTGCCGGTGACCTGTGTGACTCCAGCAGAAGACGACTCGGCCCTCCGGTCAAGGTGGGCTGCTCAAGGGGGAAGGGATGACCAAGCACTTTCAGACCAGTAAGCGCCCTTCTTTCATGGTCCCAAGAGTCAGGAAATACTCCCGAGGCAGCATGAGCAAGGCCTGACGGAGCACAACCTGCAGATCTGCTTTCCAGAGGCAATCCATGCTCTAGACAACCTGCCTGCCATAACTACACGGCCGGGAGCTGGGAGCCCCCAACCCAGCGCACCTGGGGCAGGACAGGCGCTGGGAGGCAGACCTCATGAGGTCTCCAGGCGGTCCACCTGGGCCCTCGGGAGTGTCTGAGCGGGCAGCTCAGGCAGCCAGCCGCTGGTGTCCACTGCTCTGAGCAATGCTAGAGGCACGGAGCCAAACTCTGGGAGAGCTAGGGCCCCAGACCACTGCCCGTGGCCATGCAGGCCGTGCACGCAGCTGAGGCCACGGGGATGCCACATATGGGCATGCCGGCATGAATGGCGGTCCCAGAAGTTGGGCAACGTGGGCCCTGCTGAGAACGACACCGATGCTGGCTAAGACCTACCGAACGTGCAGACCTGAATGCTATCTTTCTCTCCCTGACTCTATGAGCAAAGCTTGTCCCTAGAACATCACTTTCTAAACCCAGGGCACAGGCACGTGGCAGACATCTCAAGGCCACGTGGCCACCCCCCACACCAGCAGGAGGGCTTTCCTGGGGCTCACATCTGTAAGACCGGACGCCCCCCCCCCCAACCCTGCCAGGTCCCTACCCTCCCACTCTCTACCTAGGCCACAGACCCCTGACTCCAGTCCGCCTCCTCCTGGAAATTGGGACGGGGCGACTGGGCAGTTCACTGCCGGGGCCAGGACACCAGGTGGCGCTGAGGCTGGCTTGGCGCTGAGCAAGTCAGGGCCCTGGGCCAGCTGCGTCAGCAGAGGAGGCCAGACTGCTGGTAGCAGGAGCCGAGGCGCAGGGGAAATCAAGAGGGAGCCCGAGGAGCTAAAAGTGAGAGATGGGCCTGCAAAAGCAGCTTCTGTTGGGCCCAGGCCTCCCCATCCCAGAGACCACGGCCCACAGAGATCCCTCTCCCTGAGCTAGCCACAGTGGCTTTTGGTTACAAGGTCCTGAGTGGAATGAGAAAGCCCGGGTGCCTCCAGCCCACCAGGCGGCACCAGCAAACAAGTCGCAGGCCTCCCACACCAGAGACTGCACATTCTCCCCAGCTCCCTAAGGCCCTTCTCACACGTCTCCCGGTGGCCCCAAGGGCCACGAGGCCAGGGCTTCCCCATGGCAGTCCCCTCAGCAAAGAGCAAACCCCCTTGGATGGGCTCAGTCGCCTGTCCCCTTCCTGACAATCTTCGAGGTGCCTGGCACAGGGCCCAAATGCAAAGATGGTCTATGGATGGTTGGACCCGCTGTGACAGGCAGTGGGAACGGTTGGAGTTTGGCCCGTGTTTCTTAGATCCTGTGGGCCACCACTAATCCCAGGGCCCAAACACCAGCCAAAGTGTGAATCTCTGTCCGGCACACCAGCTTGCCTGGGGCCTGGTCTTGCTCAGACAGACCAGCTGAACCCAGGCTGAGCCACCTTCTTTCCTAATTTGCATACCAAGCTGGTGTTTCCCCTGCCCTAGGTGATCCCAGGGCCAGGTACCAGGCAACCAGAGACCACCCCTGTAGCCTCAAGCCAGGCCAGAATTCTTCAAACTAGCCAGTCCTGAGCTGTTTCCCCAGCCCTGCCTTGCCTTTCCCACAGAAACTCCAAGAAAGGCTCTGGCCTGGGCCTTCCCCCGACTCCTGCATCTGCCTGACCTGGCGTTCTCCCTGTGTCCCTTCCTCTCAAGACACATAAAAGTCAAATTCTTTTGTCAATGGCATTGGCTTCTCTGTGTCATTGCTTGGCCATACCTTGATAAGCTGAGTTCCAGGTATAACTTTAAAACAGGCCAGCATCTCATGGTGCCTCGTGGCCTCGGGGCACCCCACAGCCTACAGGAAGCACAATGTGTCAATTACGCTAGACCCGTGACAGTTTGCTAGTGCCATTAAGCCACCATGTGTCATGGCCATGCTGAACACCTTGCTTTGTGTTCCCATTTGACCCTAATAACCGGGCTTTGAGGTAGGTCCCCTTAATGCACCCATTCTACAGAAGAGGAAACTGAGACTCAGGGAGGTGTAAACTTGCCCAAGGCCAAATGACTCCTTCGTGATGCAGGAAAAATGCACAAGTGCTGAGGTTGGAAGGGGCCAGCTGACTGCAGGGGTGGAAGGGTCCTGAAGGCCCGTCCTCAGAGGTCACTAAAACCAGAAGGGCAGGGAGGAAGGAGAAGCATCTGACTCACCTAAGGCAGGAACTGCGCTGCTGAGTCGCCCGGTGAGAACGATGTTTACTGTGGGAGACACAAGGAGGTGTCAGTGGTGGGGGGCAGTGGCGCTTGGGGCCCAGACACCTGCCGTGGGCCAACAGCAGCCCTATATGGGCAAGCCAAACTCTGGGCCGCCTCTCTTCATCTCACAGGGCCGGGCCCAGAGTGCTGCCAGAGACTTCCACTCCCACCCGGTCCTGCTGGGATGGGCAGAGGGGAGGACCCTCGAGGGTCTTGGGACCCCACCCTCTCCCAAAGAGAGCCAAGGCACAAGCCTGGCTCCAGCAGACCACTCCTGCTGCCCTCCGTGGTTGCCAATTCTAACTTGTGTGGGAAGGGGTGTGTTTCTACCTCCCCTCTCCAGCTTGGAAACTCATGTGTGGGCCACCCTGGTTCGGCCTGGGTAAGGGCTCTGCCTTCAAGGCGGCCCTGACCTCTTGGAGGAATCCCTCTGAGGGGCCTTGCCAGCCATCTGGTCTACCAGCAAGCCAGGGAAGGAGGAAGCAGTTCCAATTACCCCATTTTATAGGGATGCACAGATAGCAGGATTCAAGGTCCCCCTCGCTATGCCATGCTGACCTTGAGAAGAGGGGCAGAGAACTTCCCTGCCACCCACCCCCTCAAGTATCCACCTCCATGAGCTTTGTCCTTGGCTTTCATCTATGGCTTTCCTGCAGCGGTTTACAGGACCGGGACGAGGATACAGGCAAACTCAACTTCCCAGGGTTCAGGGTGCCCCCTTCCCCCAACATCAAGGATACCAAGGGAGGCAGAGAGCATCTCTGCAGGGTCAGCCCCCACCTGGTGAAGCTGCAGGGGCAGATACCCTCTCTGAAAACCCCAGGCTCTGCTAGGCAGAGCCCGGGGTCACATCTGGGAAGCCAACGGGCCTGTCCTCCTGCCCTGCTCACCTGGGCAGCCCAGCACCCAGCAGCTTAGAGCCCAGAGCACATGACCACTAACAGACTGGGCAGTGGGCACTTCACCGGGGGTGGGGGTGGGGGGTCCCATCCATCACTAGACTTTCCCACACCTGAACCAAGGGGCCTTCCACAGGACTCAGAGCTCCCTGGTTCTGCACCCAAGAAGATGGTGTAGCTAAAAACAGGCAGGTTTCTTTTTCACTGTGTCCTTTCAGTTGCTTCAAGCAAACCTATTGGGCTTACAGAATCTTCACTAGTGTCACAGTAGGGTGTCCCCTAATGACCCCAAGCTCAGCTAATGGCCTCCCTCCTTCATCATGGTAAATAAAGGAGCCATGTGGGTTGAGGATTTAACTCCTTTCTTCCTCTCTCCCCCAAACAGGGCGGTGGAAAGGTCGACAGAAAAACTCCTGGACAGAGCAGGCATTCCCTCCCACCCAGATGCCAGGCCTGGACAGGTCTCAGCGCCCTCCCCAAACACACCCCACTGGGCTGAACAGGCCTGCCCCGCTGGGTCTAAGAGACACAAAGGGAAGACAGGAGTCACTCTCGCGGCAGCCTCCGGCCCCGGCATCCTGACCGCGGCTCCCGCTGGCACCCGCCCCCACCCCAAGTCCCGGCAGGAAACAGTTCCTTCTTCAGGGGACAGCCGGCCACAGACCCGCCCGCCTCGCCTTTGTCCGCAGCTCCGGAGGCCCTAACCCCGCCAGGCCCGGCGGAAAGCCACCGCCTGCCCACCCCGGCCACCCTCACCGCCCCGCAGCCCGCACCGCCCGGCCGTCCCGCGCCCCGCGCCCCGCTGCCCCGGGCTCCACGCACTGTTCCGAGCCGGGCGGGAGCCGGGGCTAGGCTGCCAGAGTCGCCTCCCAGGCGGGAGAGCTCGGCAGGCCGGGGGGCGCGGGGGGCCGCCCTCTCGCTCAGGGCCCGCTCCGGGAAGCCCCGGCCGGAGCCCGGGGGAGCAGAGCGGGGCAGGCCGGGGTCCGTCCCGGGCGCGGCGCGGAGCTCGGAGGCGGGGGCCGGACCCGCCCGGCCTGCGCGGCCCACTCACCCAGGCAGACGACGGCGAGCTGAGCCCGGGCGCCCGGCGCCCCCTCCGGCCCCGCGGCCGCCCTCTTCTCCATGCCGGGGCCGGCCGCCCGCGGGCGCCGCCTCCTGCCTCCCCGGCTGCGGCAGCGGCTGCGGCTCCGGCTCGGGCTCGGGCTCCGGCTCGGGCTCCCGCGGCGGCCGCCGGCCGGGTGCGGGCGGCGGCTCCGGCGGCGTCTTTGTGAGGCGGCGGTGCAGGCCCGCAGCTTGCGCGGGGCCACATCGGCCGCGGCGTCACGGGCCCCTCGGGGGCTCAGCAGCGGCCGCCAGGGAGGACCCCCGCCCGCCGCTGCCCCCGCGCCCCGGCGCCTTGCTCGCCGCCGGCCTGTGCCCGGGGGCCCCCGGCGCGCCCATGCCCCGCGGCGCGCAGCCCGCCCGGCCCCGGCGCCCCCCGGCCCACGCGGCCGGGTGTCGTCGCTGGTGCGTCCGTGGGTCTGTGGGTCCTCGCGCCCGCCGGGAGCCAGGAGGCCGCGCCGCGCCAGCCACGTGACGCGCCCGCCGAGCCGCAGTGGCGCTGGCCGTGGGGCGGGGGAGGCGGCAGGGCGGGCCGGGGGTGCGCGCCCCGCCTGGGTGCTGGACAGCTCCGCGCGGCCGCCCCGGCCGGTCGGCGCCTCCAGCCGTCCACCGCCCTGGAGCCAGGGCCCCGTCCGCTCCGGCCGGGTCTGCTCCTGGGCCCACGAACTGGTCCCTCCCGGAGCCCGCGGGGCCGCCGTGCCCGGGAGGGGAAGAGAGTGGAGGGGGGAGAGGACTGGTAGAAGGTGGCTGCTTAGGGGACCCCAGGGCAGGACCGCGCGAGGTGGCGCAGCGCTCAGAGCTGTCTGCCCCCGTGAGGTGTCCCTTTTCTAGCCCGGGGGGCCCCTGGCACATCCCTGAAACGCATCCTTCTGTGCAGAGCAAAGCTTGTGAAGAGGGGAACACGTTAGGCCTATGGAAATTCACCCCTTTGGGGACCCTGCGCCCACCTAATCACCCCATCAGGCCCCCGGGGAATGGGAAGGAGACACCAGGCTTGGGGCTGCCACCTGGGAGTGGTGTCAACCAAGGGGCTGGTCTCGAAGAGGCAGAAACCTGGGACAGAGACAGGAGCCAAACAGGGTCAGCCCTCCTTTCTTAAGACTAACGTGAGATCAGAGGTCCTGGCCTGGAGGCTTGGTATGAGCCCCCATGCCTGCCCCGAGCTGAGGCTGGACCTCCTCTTCAGTTACCACCACTCCGTTCCCTAGTCTCTTCTTTCGAGAGAAGGTATAAAGGAACTGATATTTTATTAGTGAAAGTTGTAGACCGTGTAACTCGCTAACTCATTTTCACTGTGCAGGCCAACTGGATTTTAATTTCAAAAAAAAGGGAGGGGGCGGGGAGGGAAAATACCTTTTAGTTTTTCTGGGTGGGTGGTGTGTGTTCTCTCTCTTCTAATTTCTTTGGTGATTTTTCAAAAGACGACTTCTTGAGAGATGTAGCAAATGATTGAAGAATCAAATAACAAGATAAATGACTCATTTATGGTAAAGAGCACGAGCCTACCATAATCTGGTTTCAGAATTTCCCGAGACTGCTGACTGCTCAAGTAATGGGCATTTATGCGTGGCAAAAATGTTCAACAGAATTGCAGAGCTGGCAGGGAGGGTCTGAAGTCTGAAATTTTGTTTCTATTTGAGGATGCTTTCTAGATGCATGCTTTCCAAGCTATGAGAGGGATCTATGTTGAACACTGAGGCCACGGGGAGTCCTACTGGAGCCTGAGGCCAAAAAAAGAAAAATGTAAACCCCTGTAGACGTTTATCAGAATAACCTCTCATATTCTGAACTGAGTGGAAAGATCAATAAAACATCTACAATCACAAAGTTGCCCAATTTGTCCACACCCCATTGTCAACCCTCCTAAGCCCACGAGCCAGGGGACAGCCCAGCTAGCTACTGGGAACTTTGGGCTGGTTAGAAGCAAGTGTCCATGGCACAATAGTGCAAGACCATAAAATGACCAAGCACCACTTCCTGACCTTAAGCTTTTGATATTTTGCTCGCTGTGGATTTTTTGCATATATTTTTTTAAAAATAAGTTTAAAAAAACCCATGGTTTGTCTTGATTCATGAGTTTTTTGGCAGAAAGCTACTCCTTGCTCATTTGGAGATCTGAACCACCTGATGCCCCATTTCCAGTTTAGCTCCCTCTAGAGGCTGCCAACCCAGGCAGAGGCCTCGCTCAGGTTCCCCAATGTAGCCCTGTTCTAGTCCTCATCTCCAACTGAACCAGCCACCTCTGGAATGGTTCCTGGCGGCCCAGTCTCTGCTGCAGGTCTGGACACCCCCGCTCAGTGACCCTGCAACTTTTTAACAAACATGTACCCTCCACTCCAGCATCAGTTGTAACCACGAGTTTTCAGTCTATCACAACCCAGACTCTTCCAACTAGTTGAGAATTCAGTGCTGGAAAGAGGGTGATGTCAGTAATAGCCCCAAGAAGTTGCACACCGCTAGGGCAGATGAGGGAGGTACAGGGTGGAAGGGCCGAGGCAGGGGCTCAGGGTCCTCCTGGCAGGAAGCTGGTCTTCAGAGATAGGAGGAAGCAAAGCTGCGTGTATTTCATGACCCTCACGTGTATTTCATGAGACGCGGACTGTGGGCCACTGAGGCCTTCAGCTGATCTGCTCCAGGAGTGAGGAGAGGGAAGGGGCACAGAGTTGTCCCACATAAACCTCCATCCAGAGCAGCGGGGTCATTGCCAATACTCACGTGCCCCAAGACCCCTGCAGGACAGGGAGGCAGCCAGGGAGGAGCTGGAGAGCTCTGCGTATCTTCCTCCATCATTTGCCTGCAGGAAGACTCAAGTTCAAGCCGGCTCTTATCCAACTGGTTGCCAAGGTGGATGGTCATTGTCTTTCTTGATTTCAAATAGTTAGAATTTACTTGGGGATCAAAGGCTAAACGTGACTTCGGCAAGTAAAGCCAAAGCAGGTGTCTTCCGGAAGGGCAAACCCTTTCTTGTCCAAACTTCGCTGTAGACTAGATACTTCTCACTCTGCAGTCTACACCTTCCCCTTGGGCCCTACTCCATTCATGGTCACATCATTTACTGAGTCGAAAATCCCTACCCCAATCTCCCAACACCCAATCCATCACTAAGTCTGGATGGCTAATCCCTTCCATGTACCTCAAGTCTGCTCCTTCTCTCCATCACCACGGCACCTTCCTGGCCCCAGTCATCATCTATTTCCTCTCTCGTCGTTCTCTGCAGAAGCCTCCTACATGCAACCCTGCATCCTAATTGGCACCTCACATTTTCAGCGTGCAAAATGGATCATGTCCCCTGCGGAAAATACTCCAGAACAGACCTCAAAGTTCTTAACCTGAGCTTCATGACCCTGTGGGACTAGCTCTGTCCATCATCCTCTCCAAGCAACCCCACCTACCCCCAGCTCATCCTGGCCTTAGGACATCTCCACTCTCCCCAGAGTGAATTTCTACTCTTCCCTCGTTCTGCCGGGAGGACAGCCAGGAGGCAGAGTGGAGAGCATTTGGAGAGCTGCGCTCAGACCTGTGAGCAGCCTATCCAGCAAGTGGACATACTGACTGACCCACCAGGCTTCAGGCCCCCCTTGGGGAGAAGCATTCATACCCCCAGGCCAGCTAAATCACTCAAGTGATGAGAAGACAGTTGAGTCTGCATTTTGAGCCAAACTCTCCTTAAACAGAACCTGTCCTTGGGCCCTTTCCAAGACCCTTTCTGGGACCCCAGGGGAGACTCACAGGTCAGTGTCTCCTAAATGGCTATTTCGCTCCCATATACATTAGAACCCATGTTTCTCAAATGGCATTTTGAGAACTCAGCCATTTCGGTAGAAAGTAGCATGAAAACCCATGTCTAAGGGATTTCTGAATGGTATGACTTTTGGAACAGGATGACAGGAGGACGGGATAAGAGGTAAGAGCAAAAAAAAAAAAATAGCTTTAAAGAGAGGGAGTTAAACGGTTTATTTGAATTTAAAATACTAAAAATATCAGGAGCACCTGGGGGGCTCGGTCCGTTAAGCATCTGACTCTTGATCTCGGCTCAGCTCTTGATCTCCAGGTTTTGAGTTCTGGGACTGCGTTGGACTCCATGCTGGGCATGGAGCCTACTTAAAAAAGAAAACACTAAAATTATCAAAAGCACAGTAAAATACCACTTTCCGTACATTAAAATGACTATAGTTCAAAAAGGGAAAGGGGCACCTGGGTGGCTCAGTTGGTTAAGTATCTGCCTACAGCTCAGGTCATGATCCTGGGGTCCCGGTGATCAGGGATCCAGCCCAGCACTGGGCTCCCTGCTCAGCAGGGAGTCTGCTTCTCCCTCTCTATCTCTCTGCCCCTCCCCCGCTCATGCTCGCTCTTTCTCGCTTGCTCACGCTCTCTCTCTAGTAAATACATTTTTTAAAAGGGAGAAAGAAAGAACATAACAAGAATTGGCGAGAATGTGGAAAAGTTAGAACCCTTGCACACCGCTGATGGGGACGTACGATGGTGCAGCACCTTGGAAAACAGGTGGGCCGTTTCCCAAAAGCTTCAATATAGAGTGGCCATGGAACCCAGCAATCTATCCCCCAAAGAATGGAAAGCAGGAGCCTCAGGGGGTCCTTATACATGTTTATAGCAGTGATAACGCACAATAACCACAGGGCTGGAAGCCACGTGGGTGTGGACTGGATAAACAGGATGTGGAGAATCCACACAATGGAATATTCCTCTGCCCTCAAAAGGAAGGACATTCTTTTTTTCCTTTTTTTTTTTTAAGATTTTATTTATTTATTTGACAGACAGAGATCACAGCAGGCAGAGAAGCAGGGAGAGAGAGAGAGGAGGAAGCAGGCTCCCCACTGAGCAGAGAGCCCGACGCGGGACTTGATTCCAGGACCCCGGGATCATGACCCCAGAGGAAGGCAGAGGCTTTAACCCACTGAGCCACCCAGGCACCCCAAGGAAGGACATTCTGACACATGCTGCAGCACGACTGAATCATGCCAGACGCAAAAGGACCAATAGACAGCATAATTCCACCAATAGG